ATATATATATATATGCATATACATATATATATATATATGTGTGTATATATATACATATGGAAAAAAAACCATGATGGTCAGCTTCACATCGTTGGCAAAAGCTGCAGATTTTCTGCACAAGTCGTGATTTTGGTTGAGCGCCGAGGTACTGAGGCGCGGCTACACGATGCAGCACGATGTTGGTCGTGGCCTTGCTGCAGGCAGCGCTGCAGCTGACCTCCTCACTAATGCTACTAAAATTTGAAGCTTTTGTCCGACTCGGCATGAATAGCGGGGCTTTTAGGCTCACAAGCTAACATTATCCTTCTGCAGTGCATCTTTCTATGGTGCTTTCCAGTCCACCGCTTACAGCTGCTGCTCTCTACATTCCTATGGTCATTGCAGTTTCTCACAGTTCTGTACAGTATTGCACAATTCAAGTTCATCTACTGCCTCCAAACAGTGGTGAGGACTAATATTCGATGTCCAACGGCATAATCATTAATAAATTGTAGTTATCCAGAGTAAATAAGACGCATTCCTTCAAGCAGGTAAAAGATTCAATTATCAAGTAATCACCCCACCGTACATTCAGTGAAACAAAGTCAAAGTAAACACCGGCTCCTGGACAGCTGACGAATTCTTCTTCTCCTTGTGGTTTTGGCGTAGCCCCCTGTCCTGACTTTGGTTTTTATGCATGAAAGTCTGAACTTACTGTGCAGCACTGAGCACAGATACAAGTGCAGCAACACTGTGACCACTCGTCTCCAAGATTACGGTTTAAAAATGCTGTCATTCATTTACTGAGCAACCCAGTGCTGGCTATTTACAAACAGGAAATCAATGACCCACTGTTGTAACTAGAGATAAATGACTAGATATACCGATTGTGCAAATATGCCGTAGTGTCCAGTGTCGATTTTGTCAAATGAGAATCTGTCTATTAAAACTTAACACTTAAATCAGACAGAAGAGAAATAAGCTAATCCCAGGCTTCACGTCGGGACTGTGCAAAGATGGGTGTTACCTTCTACTGCGATAGATTTCAGAGAGCCTTCTTTGTGGATTTTAACACAGCCTGGTAGAAACGCTAACACGCTTATCTCTCTGAAGGATAGTGATGATTTTTTTCAAATGCCTAAAGTATACCTCAAATTCTACACTCCTACACAGACTGAGAAAATCACATAAAATCTGCCAAAGTTTGTTCTTTGATACAAATACATCATATTCTTAATAAGGATAAACTAATAAAAAATATTCATCTGTCGTGAAATCTTTATAGGAAGAAAAAGTCACCTCTCCAAGCAGGAACTCCCTCTCACACAAAGACTAAAGTGCAGGAGCCAAGAATGCACCGTCTGCATCCATCCGGCTTAATATCAGAGTAGATGTAATGCTGTCGTAATGCTCTTCTGTGATTGGTTAACTGTGAAAATCATAGTCACTAACATCTTTTTTCTTCATGTAGGTATCGTTCAGATCCGATGAAGTCAAATAACCAGGAAGTAAAAGCTTTGATCAAAAAGACTGCAGAGACCTTTTTCTGTTGTAGGCATGTGGATGTATAAAGAATAAAGTCACGTGTAGGAAATAGCCTGGCAGGGCCTGGGGCTCAAACTGGTGCCCACTGGAGTACAAAGCGTAACAGCAGCGTCTGTGACCTGCAGACACAAACGGGAGAAAGGAGCGTCAGAAACTG